GTTTGTTGCGTTTGGAAAATTGGAACTTTATGTGTTATAATTTCGGGTGATAAAAATGTAATTTGCAACAAGAGATTGTGAAAGGAACTGTTTTAAATTGTATCGATCATGACAAGACTTCCTGCTCTACTGAATGTCATCAATAATAAGTGCTGGTGCACTTAATAAGTGCTGGTGCACAACTAATGTTGCGGTACATTTCAAGCGAGAAGCTGGATCATATTTCACTTGCAAGGAAAACACTCCACACGCGCCTGGCTTGCGAAGTTTAGCACGTATCGCCGTAGAAACATACATATCTTCTACACAGAATGATCGATAAAACGGTATTAAACGAACGATATGGTTCTTTATGGTTGAAGTGTATCCTGTCCGATATTCAAAACAAAAGATTTATTTTATAACGGGATCCTTTGATTTCCCAAACATCGCCAACATGTGTAAACAATAGTGCTATTTTGACTGTAAAAGCACAGGATTAAAACCCGTTATGGACTGGCTATAAAATTCATTTCATTTACATTGCTGAAACTCAACGATCAAGAAAGATAATGTCGAAGTGTAGCTAGCTATCTGTTATCACACAAACGCCAAGACTCCTCCGTGCATTTCCGTGCGTGCGGTACAACTTGAATATCTAGGACGATATATGCATCAGAGTCATCAGAAACTGGTATTGTACTTTATATAAATTATTTCATATGTTGTGTATACAGTAATTTGCAACGTGTATAATATTAGACCTTCCATTGACATTGGCACATTGAGGGCTTTATTGAAGAATAATCCAGCTTCTTTAGACTTGTATAATGGATTAATGCCGCTGTGAGTTATCAATATTTAAATCAACTTTAATCTTTATCGTATTCCGTAACCGACATTTTAGAAGTTTAGTCTGTTTTACCAAACAATACTGGAGGCAAACAACCTATCTATCAATGGAAACGTTAAAAGGTTTGTTACAGTAAAACTCATTAATATAAGCGAGACTTCGTGTGCATATACAGTTTATGCATTATGTATATCCTGATAAAACGTAGGACACTTTATAGTTTATACCAGATGTAATAAAAAATACATTGCTAAACCTTTTCTGCTGTCATTCCTTTGCATTTAAGGGGAGAGGGTAAATGGCGATAGAATTTATAGGAGATGCTGTGCAATATTTTGGCTTCAACAAACAGGTACTCGTGCAGACAAAAAAGAAAATTCATGCAGTTGTGAATTGTCGTATGTCAGCTGTGCACTGTCCATTTCAAACAATTTTGTACGTTATATTTTGTCTTCCTGGTGTTTAATATAAACGATGATAACCTTTTAAAAAAATCTAGTGCAATATGTCAATATGTCTATAAACAGTTTTAGAATCAATAGAATGGACATTCAATGTGTATTTGGCTTGTGTCCAAATGTGTCACGTTTAAGACCGGCAAGCTGCTAATCCTACGACCTATAAACAGTCGCTTTTGAGACATCTGTTTAACAAAATTTATACCGTGTCCATATTAGAACAATTCATTGGCATATTATAAGCATATTATAAAAATCAGAGCCCGAACAGAAACGCACGCGTGAAATGAAACTACGCCCGAACCGGCGAACCCCGAGAAAATAAAAATATTTCAAAGCGTACAGTCATACGTTCTCGTTGCTTGATTTCCTGAATTTTCTGTTGCTATAAGAATCTGCATTTTAACATGTTTGTATAATTTAAAAGCAAACAGAAACCAATTTAGCAAGTAGTTTGAGGTATATATGATTCTTGAAGATGAATTAGATGATTGTACAGAACGGCCACTCCTTGCAATCGAAGTGCGAAGTGCGGAAGTGGAAACATGTAATATGAGACTTTTCCATCTCCCTCTTGGGCTATCAATTTTCTATGGGTCACGTGACCAGCTCCGACCAGGGTCTTTGCTTCCCAAGAGCAAAGAGCCTGGGAACGAGGTTGGTATTGAGATTGTTTTTGACTTTCACGAGATTGTGCAATTGTTCTGCTGCTTTCGACAACTCAGTGTGAGCTTCAATTTCTTGTCCTGCAAGAATGATTTCAACTTGTGCAGAACATGCCTGCTTTGACATACAAGGAATATTCATTATTGCACAAAAAGAGGACAGCGATTCATATCCTCCACCTGTTTCCAAGGAATGATATACTGCTCGTCTGTTTACATCAAATGATCTGCCTCTGTCCACTGTCATTGCATTGTCCATGTCTCCATTTTTGTCGAATGATCACATTCAGTGCAACTGATTGAAAACTCTGACATTAGACCAGCCCTTGCACTAGGATTTTCAGTGACATCAAGTTTACCTATAAATAATCACATATTTATTATTACAGTTAACCTTTTTAACATACTGTAGTGTATAAAATATATATGTAGTTACTAGTTAAACATTGTGACATTAGGTTTAAAATATAAAATAGTTTTATTACAAAAGTGCTAAGTAAAAACAATTGCATAACAAATCAACAATTCAATGATTTACATGTAAATAACAAGAAATTGTAGCAAACCTTCCACACAATTATGAACTTCTGAAATCATGGTTCATGGTTGATGATCATGACAACACATTCACATGCACAAGTCTATAACTTGGAGTAATACACTCTTCATTTTCATCATGACTACGTATAGATCCGAGCTATCAGAGGGAAAACGACGATGAACAAGTTTCTGTTGGGATGTACTTTACAGGAGTAGATCATTGATCATAATTGTTCGTATTTGTCTATTTGATCATTGTTTGTCAATGTTTTGATCACGTTCGGGCAAGGATTTGTCTTGTTTTCCTTACCACGCAGGTACTCCAGAGAAAGATTTGGCCTTTCTACTCTTTCTATAGCAACTGGTAGGTTGCCTTCTAACCATCGTTTAAAAACACTGACGAAAAAGCTATATATTTCACAAGTTTCCAACAAGACAAAATATCGTTTTAGGCAAATGCACTGAATTTCACAAGAAACATGCTTGAAACACGCATAATTTTAATGTGAAACCGCTGCTAAATACTTCTAGTAGTGAGCCTGCATTATATTTTGTATCTAGGGAGGGGAGGGAACAAATTAACAGCGCTAAAATAGAGAAAATAAAAGATAATATTTGTTGTTACCATGGCAACGGAAATAGAAAAAATAGGTTGCTTGTTTAAAATCATTTCTACAGGAAAAATATTCAAGATGTCACCACAAAAACCATCTAACCATATAAATAAGATATCAGAGAAGTCATTTTCATCATAATTCAAAAATCGATTTTTTAAGTCATTTCAGGTAGACCCCCACCTTATTAACTAAATGGTCAAAAGACCGTATTTCCGTGAGATGCATTTTGCCTTCGCTCAAACTGACTGTTGTTATTGTTATTATTATTAATATTTAACAGAATTGTGTATAGTCCGTATCTGCGCGAGACGCATTTTGCCCTTATACGAGTTCATTGGCGAAGTCATTTTTAAAATAAACTTTGTCTAAACCAGGGCGTTTATAAGATAGGGCGGCGAAACGCCAGTACTTCGCTAGCCGGCGTGCAGGCCCAAGGGAACTGATAGTGGGCCTGCAAGCAAGGACCGGTATTTTGTAAAACGCCCCTTTTCATTACACGCCCCATTCGCGCGTCAATTGGCAAAAAAGAACCAATGACAGCACCCAAATATTAACAAACAAACTCGCATTGAAATGTTGCGGGGTTTTCTCTGCTTGTTTAGAACATAAACAATGTGTAAATGGCTGCGTTTTAACTCCAAAAAAGCAAGCAACGCAGTCAGTAATTGCCAAATTTGCAAGTGCTCATTTTCAACTAAAATCGGAACAGGCAAATTAGGACGAATTTGAACAGAAAACCAGTCTCAAACTTCAAATCGTGAGGGAAGTCGTGCGACCGCATTAATGTGTGCTTCGCTGTCGCCATTGTTATAAATAAATTGTCTCACTTATCAGATCGTGTGTGCAATTCTTGTTGGCGGCGGAAAGTACGAAATTTATTTCAGTTATTTCATTTGGTAAAGAACTCTACAAAAGAAGAGAGCGTTCAGAGTCCAGATCGTTTCGTTTCAAACGGCAATTTAATACCGTCTTCTGTTTCGCTCTCTCAGCGATTAGCGAAGCCTTGTAAATCGCAAAGTGTTTCGAATAGGCTTACATGCAAGTGCATCTCAACATCAACCAAAAGATAATTTTCTTGAGGAACATATAACGTATCAAGTCTGTTTGAAATTAATGAAACTCAAGTGTATTAAAGGCTCTGTGGTAAAGGTTACTATAGTTTACCCCAGTCGTAATGTTGCTATTCCAACACCTCACGATAAGCAATCCCCATTGGCATAACGGCAAAAACATCTCTTCTTTCAAGTAAACAATAAACAGTCTGTTCTTGTTCCATTTGTAATCGAAAAAAGTGATCAATTTTCGAATTTTAAGCTTATCGAGATTTATCGAGAGCCTTTGTAATGAATCACTGACCTAATTATAGAATCCAACAGCAAACAGCCAATCAGAATGTCGCGTTCGTGGGCGAACACGGAAAGTACAAAATAGCGGGCCTTGCTTGCAGGCCCACTATCAGTTCCCTTGGGCCTGCACGCGGGCTAGTAATTCGCGTGAAACATGTGTGATGCAAATTAGGACTGGGGCTAGCGGGGAAGGTGCGAAATTTAAATCAAAACAAAATATTGATGCGAAACTCGAAGACACTTTTTAAATCTCTTATTTTGCCGAAATTATGCAGTCTATCGTTGCCATATTTTGCCATCTGGTTATTTACATTTTTTACAATTTTCATGGCATGGTTCAAGATAATCGTAAAAACAAAAACTACGAAAATTTTGCACATGAAAGCCGAACATCATAATGGATTCCCTTACGCGTTTTTTAGGATGCGTAAATAAATTACTTTATTTTATATCTCAAAAATAAGCCAGAACTTAGCTTTTTTAAATGCATGTTAGCAAAATACAAGTTTATTCCTCTTAAATTTCATGGCGTAATTTTTTGAACTTTTTTTGCAATAGTTTACTGAATACAGCATAAAAAATTGATTACAGTTAAAAAATTTCCCAGGTTCGTATAGTTTTAAAATTTACGAATATAAAGGAAATTTAAACTTTTTTGGCCACTCTTATTCTTAAATCGACAAAGGAATACTTGTTCTTCTTACCAGCATGTTCATCCTTGACCAGAAGCCAACATATAACGAGTAAATGAGAATTGTTTTCAAACAAGTGTTCGGGTTCATCGTCCTTGCGAATTTCGCTTTTCCAACCGGCCTTCGATTTGTAAAGTATTAATATGTTGTACTGTCACCAGAACTTAGCAAATCCAAGGACGACTAGTCCATTATCAGATCTTTCTTTGGTAAAAATATTGTCACTTAATTTTTTGAACTTTTTTTGCAATAAGGGAACAAACACGACACAACGGAAAAATATTCGGCAGACATTTCGAATTATGCCGCGCGAACCGGAAGGGGGCATGAGACAAGTCACGACGGACACAGACCACAGACAACAGACACAAACTTATTGCAAAAGAGCGGGAAAATTAAATGCCGACGGCGACGATGAAAATTGCGAAATTTATTCATTTATTGCGAAATAAATTTAAAAAGGTAAACAAACACTTCGTTATTTTAAATTAACTATACAACACAGATAATATAACTAAAAAGACACTGAGAAAAACAAGCCAAAACGAATTTGATAATTGGTTCAATATCAAATATCTAAAAGTGCACAATTAAATAGACATAAAATTTGGTCTAGCAAGTTTTGTATATATCTACTATACACAACTAATTGGTAATTTATAACTTTATATTACAATTGTCTACTCTTAGAACTATGTCAAATAATTTGAAAAGAACGGCTTCACCAGTGAGAGGATGCAATAATACACACAAGAGAAAAGCAGAATTTAGCACACCACCTAGGCCACCAAGAAATGCTCTGGACCCAATTGTTAATAATTCAACTCCATCTTGTGCTACACCTGCTAACTTAAGTGACACATGCACACAAAACAATCGATTTACAGCACCATTTCCCCCTTCAGTGTCAGATAACTCTAATGATAATCTCATTCCAACCACCACTGTACAGTTTGTTAACAACTCTCCATTGCGTGAAGAGGAGCTACTACTCTATTCTATGATGACCCTTGTGTTTCCAGTGGCACTCTTCACCAAAAATTATGCACCTAGTAAATATGATGCAATAATTGACATAATTTACCAAAATAACTGGTGTGAAATACAGTAGTCACAGCATTCGAAATTATTTTCATCGAGTTTACACAAACAAAGTGAAGGGTTTTGGAAAAACAAAATTTATGTGCAGATGGGTCTTCTACCAGAATAATGTGAGATGTTTCCTTGAACAATCCAATCACCTACTCACTCCAGTCTTACAAGGGGAACAACTGGATGAGACAACAATGAATTCATTGCTACATCAATTGAAGTCTCATTGCATACGACAGGGTGTCGTGTCGTTTTGGAGTATGGATTTTTGTGTGTTTATTGTAGTGTATAATTAGGTATTTTAGTGCATATTAGCATAAAGCTATAAATTGTGAAATAATCGGACAATTTATCACAATCTATACAAGACATTTACGCGTGTAGCGAGGACGTGTTTACACACAAATTAAAAGTGGTTTTTACTTATAAATGATACGGAAACATATATAGAAACATGTGTAAGTTTTAAATTAAGAAAGCTGCTAAATAAAGAACACGTAGAGGTATTCACATTGCTTTTAATTTGTGTTAATATGTGAAACCAAGTGAAGCGTACCGATTTAGTTTTGTCATCTGGACGTTTGTTGAAACATCGTCGCTGAAATCATGGCTGATGCAATGTCCCATGAAAGAATTACGAGTTTAAAGCGAGTAAAGGCAGGACATGCCGGGGAAATAACGAAGATTACGGGTTTTTTGGATGCGTTGTTACGAGATAAGCGAAATTGGAAAGAAGTACAAGTATACAAAGAACGCTTGGTTGAACAGTGGGGGCGTTATTGGCGGGTCTTTGATGAATTAATACAGCTTTTCCCGCATGAAAGCGATGACTATACTAAAGAAAATGACAATCATAATAGACGGTGTCAGGTTTATCAATTATATATGGCTGAAATTGAACAGTTTCTTAGCCGAGACGACGAGGAGAAGCGGACTGAGGACGGAGATGCAACGAAGTTAACCGAAGGTTCGAAAGCAGTCGATGCCGGTGATTAGATCTACGAGAGTTCAAGACGAAGAACGAAGCGAGTCTTCACAGTCTTCGAGAAGAATAAGTTTAAGTTCGAAAGGTCGCGAAGGAGCGAGGCTCGACAAAATTTTGGCTGAAAAGAAATTAGAACTGTTGAAAAACGCGAAGGAGAGAAAACTAAGAGAACAATGCTTGAAACTAGACAATGAAATTGCTGAAGCCGAGGACGAAGCGGACCTTGCCCGAACAAAGGAACAGCTGTTTGAGCAGTTTGAAGAAATTCTCTTGGATGACCTGGACGTGAAATCTAAAGTTGATAAGTCGCCGCCGATAGTCACGACAGACGAAAGAGTTCCCGACCTAACAAGAAACGTTAAGACTTCTACTGAAATAAAACCTCAACTACCGAGTACTGATGGATTTCGAGACCCACCACCAGTCCCAAGCAGTCTGCGTAACCCATTTACAGAACGAAAGCCATTTACCAATACTATGTATGGACGAAGGGCGGAGAGATACCCAGTCACACCAGTAAGACTCCGGGAAAGCTTTCTACCTTTTCATTATGACCTGTCCCCTTCACCGTTAAGTGAAGTAAATCGTGAAACATTATTTCCACCACTAAGTGTTAATAGAAACCGAGAGAGACTGGAATCCAGAGTACACTTTGAACCTGAACACTCTCCCCAAAGACGGACTGATCAATCTGGTCGTATTTTAACCAAACTTACAAGCAGTTTGAATTCGATTGTGACAAGAACAAATCTCCCTCCACTCGAAGTAGTAAAGTTTACTGGTGATCCGTGTAAATACTTTCAATTTAAGTCCCGATTCGATGAGATGGTATTGACGCAAGATCTTACTGAATCCCAACAGATGAGTCGACTGCTACAGTTTCTTGACGGAAAAGCTAGAATCGCTGTCGCGGGTTTTGAAGGCATACCAGGTGGACTCTACAAGGCCATGCGTTTAATCGAGAACAGGTATGGCCAACCTCACATCGTGACGAAAGCGTGCGTCGATGCAATGGTGGACGGGCCAACGATTGCCAACAACGATAGAGTAGGTTTGAGAGAATTCGCAGATCGAGCGAGAACGTTGTACGAAACCTTGTCTTCAATCAACGCTTTGGACGAGATGAACATGACCAACATAGCCCAGATGAGTCGAAAACTAGCGATAACTCATCAGGTGAAATGGAGAGAGAACGTTCAACGAATTCTAGAACAAAAACGGAATCCCAACATATTTGATTTGGTGGAATTCATCGAAAGACGCACGGAAGTCGTGAATGATCCCATCTTTGGCCGTGTAGGAGAAGCACAGAGAACGTCGACGTTTCCTCTAAAATTAGACAGGTACCCAGTCAAGAAGGACAAAGAAAGAATCTCAACAATGGCTGCACAGTTTCGGACTGATAAGACTAACGAAAGCAAAAGGAACTTGAAAGATAGGTACACTACGAGGTTGATGGAGGCCTGGTAAAGAGTGGCGGGGAACGGGAAGCGAAGTGCGTCGTGTGCGAAGGTTTACACCAATTGAACGATTGTTCCGTTTTTAAGACCAAAACAATCAGACAACGAAACATCATAGTAAGGACACACCGACTTTGTCTGAATTGTCTTAATGTTGGACATTTCGCATTTCACTGTAAATCAAGGTTGCGATGTTTAAGCTGCCGGAGAAAACATCACTCGCTGTGGCACAAGGACGTTGCTGCAGACCAGGAAATTCCAGCTGGACTGAAGACGAGAACAGAAACAAACAACCCAGCAGATAAGGACTCAATCAAAGTAAAGCAAGTTGATGGTAGCCCAAAGGATTCAGTCAGTGTATCGGCCGCGACGAGTCATGATAGTCATAAGCGAAGTTCGACGGCGAGAATTAAGATTGCTTTACAAGTCGTTCCTGTTCGAGTATACGGTGAAAGTGGCGAATCGATTGAAACCTATGCCCTCCTTGATACCGGTAGCGAAGAATCCTTTTTGACACGATCACTTGCCGAGAAACTAAACTTGAAGGAGAAGAGCTTCGATACGTTGACAGTTTGTACCCTAGCAGTAGAGTCGACGGTAAACGTTGGACGAACGGACGTGACAGTTGAACCCTTAGAGAATCCTGAACATCGTAAGGTGAAAATCGAAGACATTAGAATCGTTGAAAGATTAAACGTGAAACCATTCAAGCCTTCTGATTTGTCAAGATGGCCACACCTTTCTGATATCAGTATTCCAGAGATAGACGAAGACGAAGTCACAATTCTGATTGGTGCCAACATTCCTGAAGTTCAAGTTCACGAAGAAAGTCGTACTGGTCGAATCGGAGAACCATATGCTGTTCGCACTATTCTTGGTTGGGCAATTCTTGGACCTGTAGGACTGAAAGAAAATGATGGATGCGGAAGAACTAATGTTCATTTCATGAAATATAGAGAGGAGCACTTAGAACAACAGCTACAACAACTGCTCGATTTGGACAACGTTGGAATTGGTAATTCTGGATCCAAAGCGATGTCGCAAAATGATAGACAAGCCCTGAAAATTCTTGACAAGACCGTTCGTATGGTGAATGGTCATTACGAAGTTGGTATGCTATGGAAAAGTGATGAAACGTGGCTTCCAGACAACAGAAACATGGCAGCAGCGCAACTACGAACTCTCAGAAGAAAACTTGATAAAAATGCGGAGCTACGTGGGAAGTACGAAGTTTTTGTTGATGACTACTTGGAGAAAGGCTACACTCGAAAGCTGACCGTTGAAGAAACTGCCCGACGGACCAACAAGACGTGGTATCTTCCTCATCACGGTGTATTCCATCCAAAGAAACCGGGGAAGATACGAGTGGTCTTCAATGCAGCCGCATTGCATGATGGTGTCTCGCTGAACAATCAGTTATACCAAGGCCCTGATCTAACGAATAGTTTGGTCGGTGTTCTTCTCAGATTCAGACAAGAACGAATTGCTATTGTTGCAGATATCACCGCCATGTTCCATCAAGTCAAGGTTCCACCGAAAGATTCCGATTCACTACGTTTCTTGTGGTGGGATGATAAAGATCTCGAAGGAATGCCAGAGGAATACCAAATGACGAGTCATATCTTTGGTGCAACAGACTCATCATGTTGTGCTAACTATTGTCTGAAGAGAACCGCCGAAGACAACAAAGCAGAATTCAGTGAAGAAGCAGTGAACACCGTAAAGAAGGACTTTTACGTGGATGACTTGCTTAAAGCTTTACCATCAGAATTGCAGGCGATCAGATTGGCAAACGAGTTAATCAAGTTACTGAAACGTGGGGGATTTCGACTAGCGAAGTGGATGAGCAACAGCAGAGAGGTTTTGGCCAACATATCGGGAGAAGAAAGAGCAAATCCTACTTTGGACCTTGATCTTGATCATCTACCAGTAGAAAGAGCCCTGGGAGTTCAATGGGACGTAGAGCGTGACGTATTCAAATTCCAAGTGACCAACTTGAACAAACCAAACACGAAGAGAGGTGTTCTATCAACCTTCAGTTCACTGTATGATCCCCTTGGACTTGTTTGTCCTGTAGTTTTGGAGGCAAAGTAGATTATGCAACGCTTGTGGAAGGCTCGAATGGATTGGGACGAACCTATATCAGCCACAGAAAGTGCCAAATGGGAAAAGTGGAAAGCAAAACTCTCAGAACTGGCCTCCGTAGAAATTCCACGATGTTATCTATCAAGTACCACGAACGCAGTTGAAATTACCTTGCATCTGTTTTCTGACGCATCAGAAGGTGGCTATGGTATGTGCTCGTACCTGAGATTTCTACACGTTGATGGGACCGTGCATTGTGCATTCCTGATTGGGAAGTCGCGGACATGTCCATTAAAGCCAATCTCCATTCCCAGGTTGGAACTGCAAGCAGCTACCCTGTCTGTGAAGGTGTACAAGGTAATAAAAGAAGAGCTGACATATTCAATTGCACAGACGTTTTTCTGGACGGACTCTCAAACGACTCTGCAGTACATCAGAAATCGAACGAAACGTTTCAATGCGTATGTGGCCAATCGTGTGACAGAAATTAGCGAAGAAACTATTTCCGAGCAATGGCGATACTGTCCTGGGAAACTGAATCCAGCTGATGACGCTTCACGAGGTCTAAGTCCGCAGAAACTATGCTCTCAATCTCGATGGTGGAATGGACCAGTATTTTTGTGGCAGGAACGAGAGAATTGGCCAACGACTGAAGTACCTTCCATTCCGAATGACGACCCAGAAGTCCTTACCAAAGTGAAGATTCACGTGATCAAAACAGCCGCTGTCCACGACGATATGTTATCAAAACTGATCAATTATCGCAGTTCATGGATCAAACTACAACGTAATCTGGCTTGGCTAGCACGCTTTGCTACTTGGATCCAAACCAAGAAAACGGGCTGCACCCGGGGACCCTTGACGTTGGAAGAACTCGATCACGCTTGCAAGATTTTGATCATGTGTGTACAGAAAGAATCCTTTGCCGAAGATATCAATCATCTCAAAAAGCACAACAAATTGATACGGACAAGTAATCTCATAAAGTTGAAGCCAGTATTATCCAACGATATATTGAGAGTTGGAGGACGTTTAGAACGAGCACCTACATTGTCCTATGAAGAAAAGCACCCAGTCATTCTACCCAAGAATCACCACCTCAGTCTACTGATCCTGCGACATTATCATGAATCATCGGCTCACGCTGGTCGAGAACAAACGCTTGCCCAGTCGAGAGAGAAGTTTTGGATAATTCAGGGAAGAAACCTTGCGAAGAAAATTATAAGAAATTGCTTTAAATGTCTACGACTGAACAGCAGACCATTGACCCAAGTTATGGCTCCTTTACCCGAGATGAGACTAGAACCATATAACCCACCATTCACCAACGCAGGTGTCGACTTCTTTGGACCCTTGATGATTCAGCGGGGCCGCGGAGTAGCTAAGAGATGGGGATGCTTAATTACTTGCTTAGCAACACGTGCAGTATTCTTGGAAGTCGCTCCATCGTTGCAAACCGATGATTTCATCCTTCTTCTACGCCAGTTTATCAGCCGAAGAGGTCCTCCAAAAGAAATTCGATCAGATAGAGGGACTAATTTCGTTGGAGCGAACCGAGAGTTGCGAGAAGCCCTCGACGAGTTAGATCAAAAGAAGATCGAAAGCGAAATGATGAAGAGGCGAATAAAATGGTTATTTCATCCACCTGCAGCACCTCATATGTCCGGGGTATGGGAGCGTTTGGTACAAACTGCAAAGAAGCATTTGAAGATGATAATGGGAGATCGACTATTAAACGAGTTTGCTCTGAGGACCTTGTTCGCCGAAGTTGAGTTCATAATGAACAATCGTCCATTAGTAGCAGCGTCTGAAGATCCAGAGGACTTGGAAGCCCTCACACCCAACCATTTCCTTCTACAAAGACGAATTCCAGGATTACCACCAGGCACATTTGTGAAAGAAGACTATCTTGGGCGTAAGCAGTGGAGAAAGGTCCAGTACATGACAGATCTATTCTGGAAAAGATGGATCCATGAGTATCTTCCCAAACTCCAAGAACGTCAAAAATGGTTCCAAACGAGGAGGAATATCGAAGTTGATGATCTTGTGATAATAAAGGAAACTGGACTTGTTCGGAATAAATGGCCACTTGGTCGAATAACAGAAGTTTTTCCTGGACGCGATGGGAGAATACGTTCAGCTAAGATTCGGACAGCAACAGGAGAATTTCACCGCCCAATAAGCCAAATTTGTCTTCTCGAAGGAGACAATAAGAACGCTCAGGCTAACCAATGAGTTATGTTTTATAGTGTGCAACGACACTGAAAAGAGAGACAATGGACAAGCTATAGAGCAGAGTCCATTGTGGGGCCGCTATGTCGTGTTGTTTTGGAGTATGGATTTTGTGTGTTTATTGTAGTGTATAATTAGGTATTTTAGTGCATATTAGCATAAAGCTATAAATTGTGAAATAATCGGACAGTTTATCACAATCTATACAAGACATTTACGCGTGTAGCGAGGACGTGTTTACACACAAATTAAAAGTGGTTTTTACTTATAAATGATACGGAAACATATATAGAAACATGTGTAAGTTCTAAATTAAGTTAAGCTGCTAAATAAAGAACACGTAGAGGTATTCACAACAGGGCACATCAACCCCTCTAGATAACAAAGCGGAAGGCTGCCTAGACAAAGAATATGACATAAACTATATATGTTAACCAAATGTTTGAAAAGACCATTATGCTCGAATTAAATAGTAAGTGGTCCAAGCAGTTTAACAGTGATAAAAACACCATTCATTTCTACCAGTTTGGCAAATGTCTTGGTTATGCAGAAAAGGAGATAGCACTCACAACAGCAGGCACTTGGTCCATATTCTTGGAAGGGAAACATCGGAGTGTTGATTTAGGCTGCACAGACATCCCAGTTACAGTAAGAAAGTGCAACGAGCTGAAACATCTTCTTGACACAATTGGGAACATGAAACTATGCCAGGGTTGTCCATTCGACAAGTACAAGCCTCGTTATGAGACACACGAGTCAGAATCACAACAACTGTTCAAGACAAAGGATGGAACTCCAGCAGCATTTGTGGACATCTTGATGTCTAAAAATAAAGAAAAAATAGCAAGATCTTCAAAATGCATATTACTTCTTTGGCAAGACGATTCAATAGAAACACCAGACACTTGCAAAGCATGTGAAAGTACAGATCATTACCTAAGAACAAAGCTGTCAAAATTAAAAAATAAACAACCCAATGCAGACCAAAAGACAGTGAGATATGACTACATGTCAAAACACGAACTTCTACAAGTTGCACGAAATTCAGTAAAAGAAATGAAATCCTGGAAACAAAAATGTCAAAGATTAGATGAATACAGAGATACGATGACCACAGTGGGCAGAAAAACTGACAATGATTTGCAAACTATTTTCAAAAACATGTATGAAGGAATTTTAGACAAAAAACAAGTTCTACACAATCCTGTATGCAGATGGCAAAAATGTGGTAAGCAATTTGAAAATGTGGAACTGCTATATGAGCATGCCAAACAGCATATTGAAAAAATCGACACAGCCTCAATTGCACCAATACATCGAAGGTACCATTGTGCATGGGAAACATGTGACAAGCACTATGCAAAACTTAAGTTGCTCCAGAATCATTTAAGAGAACACACAGGTTATGCCAGAGATGAATTGATGGAAGTATTATTAAAAGATCAAGCAACAGCTTTAAATACCCCCTCAAAACAAATGAGATGTCATCCCTTGATAATCCAATGGTGTTTGAAAATGTATTCTAAATCACATTCAGCATATGAAGGAATGCGTTCATCTGGAGCCCTTCGATTACCAAGTGGAAGGACCCTCTCAGATTACAAGAACTACAATTCTCCTCAATCTGGATGGCACTCCAGAACATTACAAGATATGAAAAACAAATTTGAGAAGATGAAAGCACCAAAGCGTGGAAAATTAGGAGGACTATTTTTTGACGAAGTTAAGATCAAGGAAGGACTTGTATTTGATAGTAGTTCTTGGGAACTAATTGGTTTTATAGACATAATTGAAGAGAAAGACCAACAGACAAAGCCAATAGATAGTCTGCAACACATGTCCTTCAATTTTTCTACCGAAGAAGTTTGATTTTCCATGTGCCTATTTCCTAACTAAAGGTGCAACAGCTGTTCAGATCAATAGAATGTTTTGGCTTGGTGTTAGCCTATTACATAGATATGGATTTGAAATAATCCTGGTATGTTGTGATGGAGCATCAACTAACAGGACTTTCTACACAATGAACACCAATAATCAATTCCACTCAGAAGGCTCTAATCCATTTACAAATAAACCTATCTTTTTTATGTCCGACCCACCTCACTTAATGAAGAAATTACGAAACAACGTTTTTAACAGTGGCTTCAAAGAAAAAAACAAGAGGTTTACAAGGAAAATGACAAATGGTGACAAAAATATTTTGTGGGAGCATGTCAACGATGTTTACAATCGGGAAAGGTTAAGAAGCATTTATGTCACTGATCTCCGTTGTTCACACATCAACCTGGACAATTTAAGCAAGATGAGAGTGAAATTAGCAGTGCAAACACTGTCTTCCAAAGTGGCTGATGAAATGAAAACATCTGACAACGAAAGAACTGCTGCAACACAAGAATACATTTCTGTTGGCAGTAAATTTTGGAATGTTTTAAATTCTTCAAAGTCATTAAGAGAACCAAACTGTAATGAAATGAACATTCTAGATGATGTTGTCAAATACTTCATGGACTGGCAGAAAAGCTTGGTTACCATTTCAGAGAAGAAAGCTGAACAAGCAAAACATTTTATATCATGGCAAACAATGTTTGATTTAATGGTAGGACCAGTTTTACTTACACGTGGTCCGAAATAACGGTTCGTGAATCACTAATCAATTTTCATTTTTCACGAACCCAATCAGAACCCAATCAGAATCACGAATCAAAAGTCTCTCAAATTGATAAAAATATACAATAATAAATTTAGTTCTTTGTAAATGTGATGGAGAATCATACATTCTGAAGATATTGTTGTTAAATTATAATTCTACCCAAAATTCTATTTCTTTGCGAGTTTGTGATGTATATTATATATTTAAAAATTACAGTGCTTCCACTTTTTAACTTCCAATTACAGAATATTCCTTGAAAATTCCTTAAAATTTCGTTAAAATAAAAAAAATTAATTCATGAACCGTTTTTTCAGAATTAATTTCAAACAGCAAAAGCATTGGGAAAGAAGCAGACCAACGTATATGAACTAGAGGAAACAATGTCATACTTTGAGGGAGACTGCAAACTTCCACGAAGAAGAAATGACAATAGCATATTTAAAACAGTTGAATGGTACATTGAAATATGAGATCTAATTCATGAAAAAAACTTGTTTAAATCATGGCGAAACTATTGCAATTTGTTAAAGTTACATTCCCTAAGAAATTATAACTGCACAAGCTGTGTTTAGGGCTCTAAAGGTTAGTCGTCTACCTTGAGCCTCATACAACTTGGTTGCTGTGAGAAGTTAGCACAATTTCACCAAGGTTTACACAAGTTTCAGGGCAAATAATAAATTGTTATTAAAATTATACACTGTACAAAATGAATAGCACTGACTTACCAAATAATGTTATACACTAACCAACTGACTTCTTGATAAAGGAAATTTGCTCGCAACGTTTTTTCTATATCTTTAGGTTGTTGGATAACTCACTATACACAGCAATTTATACTTTTGATCTCAACCGACACTGTCGACGTCACCCACTTGCTCACGATTTTACCACAAGATTGTCTTATCCTATATAGTGTATGTGTGTAGTGTTAATTAGTACTTTTAGACAAAGAAACAAATTCATTATTTGCTCTGTTTAATGTAGGTACTTTGAAGTTAGACACATACTGCTCTCGATTTACCATTAGATAGTTTGACCATACATCGCATAAAAGCTAGTCACCTTTTTTGCCATGAAATAAGCTTGCTATCAAACTTTTGCTCTCTTTCTGGGATTTTAGATGTAGCTGCTCCCTTATGATCTGTTGCTTGGACTTTAAAAACATAGAAACAATCCGTTGCAGAATAATAATGCTTGCAGCTTCCTCTTCACCAGATCTTTCACCTACAAATTTTTTCCATTCTGCACGAATATGTTTATTGCACGACAAATATTGCAAGCACAAGACCACAGTATCTTTATCTATGCCAGTCCTAATAATAAAATCTTCAACTTCTTTGTGCAAAACAATAAAAAATTCCAAAATAGCATCATTGACTATGAATAAATATTTTCCAGTATTTTGCTGCAGATCGACTCCAAATTTTTCGAAAAACGAAAGCAAACATGTCTTAGTAACTTCTGTAACTGGAGAGTTCTCATCTTTTGATTTCTTGATCGAAACAATAGTTGCACCAAAATTGATCAGATCTCTAGCACGCTTCACAGCCCAGCCAACATGTCGACGGATGGCTTCTCGCTCAGCTTCATCCTTGTCCAAATCGGCACTAACGTCGTCAACACTACGGTATTCGTCCTCAACAGATTGACTTGACTTCCCCTGTAATATCACACAGCTCCAGAAATGCTGAAGAACATGCTGATAAACCACAACAGAGGTCTCAAGACTACGGACATCTCCTGCAAGCCGTTTCCAAGCATCAAATAGATTGGACTCTATGTCATTTCTCAGAGTGGCAAACTTTTTCTCCAACCTAATAGCCCGTACGCTATCGCTTTTAAACTTCTTCACCGAACCATTGCACTTATTAAAAGCCTCGACAAATACAGACACAAAGCAATCCAAGGTGGCAAAATCTTTTTTCCCGCGCGTGTTTCGCAATATTTTTGTGTCTATTTCAGCTTCAGATTTTATCGTGCTGGAAGAAATCCTCTCGAGAACTGCGATCACTTCATTGGTAGTGAAAGCATCAGTAGACTGTCGGATAACAGGAGATGTTTTATCATCCTTTTCGACATCGGTGTCGTCTGAACTTAGAATTAAATCAAAATCTTCCTCTTCCATTTCAGCTTGAGCTTCCGCCATTTTTACTCGCATGTGTTCGAATATTTGGGGGGTCCCTTGCATCACAGATATATCAGGGCTCCTATGCTCGTTTCGCCGCCCTATCTTATAAACGCCCTGGTCTAAACCGATAAAATCAAAGCTAAAGTTTATGTAAATTAACATGATTTTTTATCACATTTAAAACCACGACACGCTTATGATTTTTCTTTGTGTTTTGCTCCTGAATTATTAATGAGTTCTTTAACATTATTTAACTAAACGGACTATATGTATTCAAATACACAGAAATATAGAATAGAAAGCAGCAAATAGAGAAATTCTGTGAGGCGATAGCAACAACAACACGCAATGCACGCTAGGATATCTACCTCAGAATGTGAGGTAGATATCCCATGAAACCACGGGCGTAAAATTACACACTTAGTCCGGGCTCATCCTGTCATGTCAGAAAACATTTTCAAAATTTGTTTAGGGGCCACGTCCATATTCATGTTGCCACGCATAACGTCGAATCGACGTTTTCACCAGTTCCCACCCACCCAACATAGATAACGTCGATCAATCAATTTATCTCAGCAATGCATTAAAATGCTGAGGCTTCAATTCAGAGTTATTGACTATTGTACTTGATTCATTGGGGCAAACTAATGTAGGATCTTTATTATAAAATATAAGAAGTTTTATAGGATATGCTTTATTACTATTTTCATACTGAACTATTCGTCTCGCAGAAAAATGGCACGATTCGCGAACACAAATTGACGGGTATTTGACACGAAAAAAATGTTGCTTCACTGAATACTTCAATTCTTCGACCTTTGTTTTGACCTCTATTATTTGAAAATAATATAATACAGCAAGCTGTTCCATTTACTGTTCGGAGTACTCCGGATTTTCCGAACAGAAGACAGTCACATAACTATTCTGAACTGTTCTGCAGACTAACCCCGATTTTCGAGTAGGGGCAGCCAGAACAGACACGTGACACTGCCAATTTTCACGTAATTGGAAATGGAGATGACAGATTTTATGTATCCAATGCACACTGCATAGTGTTATCTTGAAGGGTTTACCGCTATATATCGACATATATTTTTAATATGCTATTTGAACGCCAGGGCCAGGCAAAATTAACGAGTAAAAACGTTACAAAAAGCACATAGGCGTACGGGAGGGTGGGGCTGGGGGGGGGGGCTGCAGCCCCCCCAATTTTTTGAGAATTTATCTATATTCGGGCAAAAATTGTCTTGTCATTCGGGCAATGACGGTCTGGTGGTTAGACGAATATATTGATCCATAAAGCGGAACAGAAGTATTATTTCTACAAGTTCAACTTTTACAGGTTCAATCATGCACTGTAAATCTGTAATGGCAACGTTTGTGTATATTTATTACTACCATAGACTGCATAGCTGGATTCAAGCATGTTGCGTCAGGTTAACCTTTATTAAAGGTCAAGTGTTCTAAAATCGGATTTTGTTTTGATTTTTGCGCACATACTACAGACGTAAATCCCCACAGAAACGGCTAGAATGAAGGAACAATTGCTATGGGCTATGGCTACTAATAAAATGTCACTACTGTATTCATGCCTATATTCAGCAGTTTTACCTAGCATAATGTAGGCTATACAACTATTAAACTAAATAAGTATATAGTATATAGCTGCACATATTGCGAAGGTGTGGCCATGGTATAAGTGTGCGTAGTGACAATCGGATCAGTAATGTTTATCCTTTGGCTCTGGCCCTAGGCGGCACCGCGGCTATGACCTGACACCTGTCACTGAAAATAGATACTATACATTATACAATGACCTAATGTGACTAATTTTAGACTTTTAGATAGATATAAAAGTGCGCGATTTTTTTTACAATCATTAAAAAATTGTTGATTTTACGACGTTCGGTGCGAGGAATGCAATAAGGAAATCGACAGTGATTATAAAGAGGTGCATTCTCGATTGGTTCACATTTCACAATGGTAAAAAAGTAAAATGTCATCCAGTGATGGAATCATCGGATTCATCCCAATCGAAAATCAATACTTTCTTTGTAAAAAGTAACATGACAACCAAGGACAATGACCTGCTGTCACCTGCAGTATGACCTAATCTACTTGGAACTGAATCGAGTGGTAGTAAAGATTCTGCAGTCACGGTGTTTTTTGATGAAGATCTATCTGAGAAAAATGTGAAGGAACCCATGAGCGAAGTCCAAATGGAACCAATGACAACGTTCATTGACGTTGATGAATTAAATTCACTGTCACAGCTCAGAGAAAATAGTGAACAGAATACGGTGACGGACAGTGAAAATGTTACACCATCTTTAGGTCGAAACGCGGACATGGTTGCCTTCCTCCACAACTTTAATTTCCCGCTCCTTATCCTCGCCTTTTACCGTGTCCCATAAAATTTCCACCTATTTCAGTTTCTATATAATCGTAATTTCCCTAGGTTTTTACGTACATGTTCATCACAGGAGTCGGAGTTAAGAAATTAAGAACAACAATTTTTGGAATACTGGTCCTCTCATTATTTAGGCTACACAATGTCTTGCACCAGTACTTGTCCAATTACCCATTTTATGCCAAAAAATGTTGTTACGTTAGTAACTTTCTCTTTCTTTGTGAATCGTAATGCCATATATTTAGCTTATAATTGAAATGGCTAGGGACAACATATTTCTTTTTATATCAATCTTCAAAGACTTCAAAGGAAAGCCTTTCATTTGTAGTCTTATTAGATTATATAATTTTATGACGTCACGAAATCTATGACGTCATGTCATTCGGGCAAATTCAGCCCAGCCCCCCCAAAAATAATGTGCCCGTACGCCTATGCAAAAGCATACTTAGATGTACAAATAACAGCATATCATCAGTATACGATTTACTATGCGAATAACTAATGATATAGTAATACATAGTTGTACGCATATATAATAAACTAAACACTGTTCCATAACACCGTGTGCACTCCATTTCAATCGTTCCAGAACAGTGTTCCAAATGTTCTAGAACTAAGTTCTTTGTATGTTTGCATGGCGATATAACATATAACAAAACTATTATATGTTCTAGAACAAAACAAAACAAAACTAACATAATTATATGTTCCACAAACAAAACTATTATATGTTCTAGAACTGTTGGCAAAAGTTGCACGGCAAACATTAAATATTTAAACTTCGGTCACTGTTCGGATGTAAATAGTCAAATTGCCAAGAGATAACGTCGATTCGTCGACGTTAAAACCCACCCACCCATAACGTCGATTCGACGTTACGCGTACGTGGCAACATGAATATCACTGTACTTGTTATTCCTTTGAGTAGCTGTCTCCTTAGACTCCACTAGACTGCATATGGCATGATCATTTTCTTTATTCGATATATTAAATGTTCAATATGTGTGCGGTTCAACGAGTAGGAATTACAGGGGAAAATATCGATCATTAATAAAATAATATCATGATTGCGGGTATTCCCTTTGTTCTCGCAGGGCAATTAAAAACTAATACACCTCATTATATTCATTTTTTCTAATCCTACCCGCTTTTACGTCATGTCAGGTAGAATTAGTTCTAATCCTACCCGAAACGACGTCAAAGCGGGTACGATTAGAAAAAATGAATATAAATGAATATATCTGAAATCGCCAAAACTAAACAAAGACATGGAAAACAATTATACCATTTAATTTATACCATTATTTATTGTTAATTGGTTTTTAATGGCCCTGCGAGAACAACGGGAATACCCGCAATCATGATATTATAAGGTAATAGCATAAAAAGAGGCGAATTACTCGGCCCTCGGGAATTTTACTAAATGACCCTCATCGAGCGGCGCCCAAAGGAATTTTACTAAACGACCCTCATCGGGCGGGACGTTTTAATAGCTAATTCGCCTCTTTTTATGCTATTACTTATAATAAAATATCAACTACAATACTAGACTAAATGCTAAATCAACTTACTACTAAGTATTTTGCCAATGCATGCTAAATTACATTGACATTGTAAATATGCGCACGCAATTAAACAAACTAAAATGAAGCAAATGTCTTACTTGGATCTGTTCTTGTCCCTCAAACAATAGTCGCTTCGGATTGAAGTATATATCCTTTAATTGCCGGGTAGATTACATTGTTCGTTCTTTAATAGATGCGAATATCAATCAGAGTACCCCGTCGCGTTTTAGGTGGGCTTATTTCTGTTGGGAGTTTACTCTTTCATTGCTGGTCCAAGCTTGCAAAAAATGAAGTTCTATGGCAATTCTTTGTTAAAAGCAAGTAACATCGCTAAACACATTCGAATATGCATACTTATATTGGTTTGGGCTGTTACCAGGCTTAATTCGCAGTTTAAGTGCCAAAATTGAAGCATTTTTGACCACAGGTAAACCCGCTTTGTTATGATGTTGAAATACATTGGAATCTACAAAGATCTTTTTCCCTGTTGCCTAGCCCGCGTGCAGGCCCAAGGGAGCAGGCTCAAGGGAACTTGATAGTGGGCCTGCAAGCAAGGCCCGGTATTTTGTACTTTCCGCGTTCGCCCACGAACGCGGCATTCTGATTGGTTGTTTGCTGTTGGATTATATAATTAGGTCAGTGATTCATCACAAAGGCTCTCGATAAGCTCAAAATTCGAAAATTGATCACTTTTTTCGATTATAAATGGAACAAGAACAGACTGTTTATTGTTTACTAGGAGGAAGAGATGTTTTTGCCGTTATGCCAATGGGGATTGCTTGTCGTGAGTTGTTGGAATAGCAACAGGACTATAGTAACCTTTACTTGAGTTTCATTAATTTCAAACAGACTTGATACGTTATATGTTCCTCAAGAAAATTATCTTTTGGTTGATGTTGAGATGCAGTTGCATGTAAGCCTACTAGAAACACTTTGCGATTTACAAGGCTTCGCTGAGGGAACGAAACAGAAGACGGTATATTTAAATTGCCGTTTGAAACGAAACGATCTGGACTCTGAACGCTCTCTTCTTTTGTAGAGTT